ACTTTCAGTGGAGTTTTTAATCTCCTGGAAATCTGTTTGAATCTGTTTTATGGATTCCATTTGTTTCCTATGTTGGGATTCCATCATGTTCCTGAGAGCCTCTATCTTTTTATCTGTGTCTTCTCTAGCCTTATTAGTCATGTCTTGCACTATGGGCACAATCTTTGCTGTTATCTGAGAAATTAGTTCTGATTTCATTTTTTCCAGATCCTCTTTTGTTGCCAGTTTGGGGAATCCAGGTGGTTGAGTATCAGATTGTTCCATCTCATTTCCCTTTTGGGTTGCTGTAGGTGATCCAGAAGTCTGTTTTTGAGACTTGTTTACGTGTCTTCTTATTTCCACGGGGGTGGGGGGTGTGCTGCTGGCACCTGCGTGGCTTACCTCCTCTGCCCTAGAAGCGAGCAGAGGAATGACGGTGGGGAGCCTCCTCCTGGGAGCTGGGATTGGCTCACCTCCTCTGCCCTAGAAGCAGTGGAATGGCAGCAGGGAGCCTCCTTCTGGGTGCTGGGGTTGGCTCACCTCCTCTGCCCTAGGAGCAAGTGGTGGAATGGTGGCGGGAAGCCTCCTCCTGGGAGCTGGGATTGGCTCACCTCCTCTCCCCTAGGAGCAATGGAGTGGTGCTGGGGAGCTTCCTCCTGGGTGCTGGGGTTGGCTCACCTCCTCTGCCCTAGGAGCAGTGGAATGGTGGTGGGGAGCCTCCTTCTGGGTGCTGAGGTTGGCTCACCTCCTCTGCCCTAGGAGCGAGTGGTGGAGCTTTGGGTATAGCTTTGAATATTAATTCTATACCATTTTTTTGTTTTTCTTCTTTATGGATTCCAATTATATATATGTTGTGTCTTTTTTTAATTTTTTAATTTTTTTTTTGCCTGTCTTCCATTTCAGCAGTATTCTTCTTGGCTCTTTTTTCATTTTTGTTCTTTCAGTTGGTTTCCTGTATTTTTTCAATATGTCTTACTAAACTTTCATTTGCCCTGTTGTTCCTTGGGCACATCACAGCATAGCCATTTATAGCATTATTTTTAATCTTTGTTTCTTTCTATGCTGAGTTTAATTATGCTTGTTTTTGTCTGTTTGTTTTTTGTAGTACTGGGAATTGAACCAAGAGAGCACTGAGCTACATCTGCAGCCCTTTTTGTTTTGAGACAGGGTTTTGCTAAGTTGCCCATGCTGGGCTCAAACTCAGAATCCTCCTACCTCAGTCTCCCAGGTAGCTGGGAGAACACCAGTAGAACACTCAACTTCATTCATTTTTAAATTTCTGATTCAAGATTTTTTTAAATATCCCATTATATTGTTTGAGGATATTTAATATAGTTTGGAGTCTTGTGATACAGTTTTCTTATGTTTTGTGTAGTTTTTTGTGTGTGTGTTCCTTTGTTTTTAAGAATGGGGCTCAAGTGGGCCAGGGATTTAGCTCAGTGGTTCCACCTCCTGCCTTGCAAGCAGAAGGACCCGAGTTCGATCCCCGGTACCAAAAAAAAAAAAAAAGAGAGAGAATAATTTGTTTGGGCCGGGGATTTAGCTCAATGGTTCCGGCGCCTGCCTTGCAAGCGCAAGGTCCCGAGTTCGATTCCCAGTACCAAAAAAAAAAAAAAAAAAAAAAGAATGGAGCTCAAGAGCAGAAAAATTTTTGTTCTATTTTCTTTTTTCTCAGTACTGGGGATCAAACTCAGGACCTTGCATTTTTCAAGGCAGGCGCGGCACCACTGAGCTAAATCCCTGGCCCTGTTCTATTTTCTGTTTTCCATTTTCCTCCTGCTGTAGCTTTATATAGATTTGGTCTGTTTCATTACTTCACTTTAAGATATTATATGAATCCTTTTTTGGAAGTGTTCTTGGTTCAGGCAATGTCAGCAAAAAGGATTGATGCAGATCTGAATGTATTATGGATATATAATTTAAAAGCAAAAATGGGGACAAGTAGAATAATAATACAGGAATATTACATATTCTGATGGAGTAGACTTAAAATACCTAAAAATGTGGAGAAAAGGAGGAAAAGAAGAGGGCAGAATAAAGTCTTTGATGTTGTCAGTAGGTGGGCATTAAAGAATACTAGTTTAAGGGCCGGGGATTTAGCTCAGTGGCACCACTGCTGGCCTTACAAGCACAAGGTCCTGAGTTTGATCCCCAGTACCAAAAAAACCACCGAAAAACAAAAAACAAAAAAACAACCTAGTTTGATGGGAGTGAGTTTATAAGATTCCTAGCTAAAAGGTAGTCTGCTTTGACTGTCAAGGTATGGTCTCTCTAATGGCTGACTTTCTCTTTTAATGTGGTAGAGGGAAGACTGTGGTTCCAGGTTTTGTTTTTTGTTTGTTTGTTTCATTTTGTTTTTCCTTTTTTTGGTGGGGGGAGCAACAGGAAACTAAATTTTTTCCTTTCGCTACTACTTTTTTCCTTTATTTCCCAATCTCCAAAAGGCACTTTTCCCTTCCACTTTACCATCGTTTTCTGGAATCAGTGCCATTCAAAGCCTTCAGTCATGCACACCTATAAATTCTTCCTCTGCAGTCAGTGCTGTGATTTACCAGGACGCTTTTCAGTATTCTCACACCTAGACTGAACTTCCTTTTTCCAGGGGTCATTTCATATCCATCTTAGGTTTCCCTGGCTTGTGGTAGTGAGAGAGCTTGAGAGCTCACTGATTTGGGGTTTATTTTAATACTTACAGATAATTTGAAGTTTGAGCATTCTCTGATTTGTAGCTATTCTGAGGGTTTGGGGATTTGTGTAGTTCTACATGTCTTTCCTATTCTGTAAGTTTTTGGAGGCTATGTGGAGAGATTCAGATTTACACAGTCATCACTATCCTCACTTCTATCTTCTTCCCTCCTTCCCACCCTCCTCTTTCTTTCCTTCTCTCCTTCTTTCTCCCTCCCCCCTCCTTCTTTCCTAGTACTGGGATTGAAATGTAGGGCCCTCACACTGAACTACAGCCCCAGCCCTTTTTTTTTTTTTATATTGAGGCAGAGTCATTTTAAGTTGCTCATGCCTCAGCTCCCAGATTGCTGCTACTACAGGTATGTACACCACTGCGCCCAGCTTCTCAGCTTGCTTTCTGTTACGAATTATCTGTCTTCAAATTATCCTCTAAGGTAGGTGGGAGCAAGATCTCACGGACCATTCAGGGGTTAAGCAAAATTTTCATTTCTTCAAATATTAATTATATTTTTTGCAATGACTTTTAAAAAGTTAATGACACTTCTTCACTTTAAAAAAATTCACCAAAGAATATTTTACTGGTTGTGAGTTATTTTCCCCAATGCTTTTAAAAGTCCCAGAGAATTCTTTAAAAATCCAAATTACAGAAAGTAGTCAGGATAGAGAAAGGTTGGTTAATAGTACAGGGTTGCAGTTCAATAAGTAACTTCTAATGTCAGTATGGTAACCTGTGGTTGACAACAATTAATTTCATATTTCAAAATAGCTACTAGAGAGGAATTTGAATGTTTCCAGAACAAAGAAATGATTTATAAATGTTTAAGGTGCTGGATGTGCCATTTACCTCATCTGTTCATCACACGTTGTATACATGTGTGGAAATGTCACACCTTATCTCATGTAAAATTATGGTTAGTTAAAGACATAAATCATATATTTAAAGTATAAATTATGATCATGTTGTGGGAAACTTAAAAATTAATTTCATTTTTCATGCAAAGAATATCCTGCTTACACTTTTATCTTCTTTGCTTTATATGGTTTTGGTATACTGTATGTATTCTGAGATGGTGTGTTTCCCTCGCATTTCCAATAAACTCTGGATATATCAAAATATTAAGCAGCTATAAATTATTTTTCCAAGAAGGAAATAATACTAGTTCTTGCTTCCTCTTTCCCCCACCTAGGCTGCTTTGACTCTTCCACAAAGACCTTTCCTTCACTGTTCTACTGTGATACCTATTGTGGCTCTGACCCTGAAGTTTACTGTGCATCTTTTCAAGCTCAAAGACTCATGGTACTTTCTTCCCTGGATGCTATTTATATCCTGGACCTCACACCATATTCGAGATGGAATTCGTCATGGCTTATGGATATGCCCATTTGGAAAAACTTCTCCTGTGCCATTCTGGCTTTATGTAGTAACCACATCATCTTTACCTCACGTCTGTTCATTCATTATGTATTTAACAGGGACGAGACAAAAGATATCTTCAAAACATGGACTTTGTATCGATGTCTGAAGTAACTATATGATTCTTGGAGAAGCATATGGTTCAGTTGATGATAATGTGAAGGGTAGACACATTAAAACAAAAATTTAAAATCAAAGTTAGGTACTTATACTTTTTAATTTTTATGATTCTGGATTCCTCTTGGCTCAAGAAACATGTATAATTTTTAAATTATACTTGTTATACATCTACTTCTCTTTTATGTCCCTCTAGTACATTATTAGACTTTCATTGATTTCATGATATATTTTCATTACTCTTTGTGTTTACCTGGTGTTACTAAATAGATTTGTTAGATTAGCATCCAGTTAGTCTTAGAGTATACCTGTAAGTCCATTTCCTGATGAAAAGCTCAAATTTAGTATGGATAATTAGCATTATACTCGTATCCACATTTTCCTGAGATATTGAAACAGTGAAATGGCCAAAATAACTGAGATCATGAATAAGATATATAGAGAGGACTAACATGTATTTGTTTAATTTATATTGATCCTTACTGAATTTAATTTGCAAAGTGCTTCATGGGTTACTGGCAAAATCTACCTCAGAGCACTTGCAAAATATATTCATAAAAGACTATAACTAACAGTTCTATATTATGATTCCAAAAATCAATTTAGGAAATTATTATAACATGTTTGCTGTAGTTAATCTCACTGAAGTTGTATTTTTTTAGTATCTTTGCCCAAGAAGCTCATGATGGTGTTTTAAATAACTAAATTTAACAAAATATTTGTTATAAATAGCATTAAATTTTTTTTTTTTTTTTTTTTGGTACTGGGGATCAAACTCAAGTCTTTGCGTGGCAGGCGGCAAAACCACTGAGCTGAATCCCCAGCCCAGCATTAAAAAATACTGATACTACGCAAGGACTGAATTTGATCCCTGTTTCCAAAAAAACCCCCAAAATATTGATACTTGAATTTGAATTCACACAAAAAGTAATGACCAATAATGTCATTTCAAATGTAAACTCCAGATTGTTCCATTAAAATTATTTTAGTTGCTATCAATTTGCTTACACTCTATTCTAAAATATACCAATTAAGTCATTTTTTAAAATCTGCCTGATACTGAGATAAAAAGCATATTTAAAAAAAAAAAAATAGGCCTAGGAAAAAGTGTTTGCTTTTTCCTTTGTTCTTTCAGATTGATCTTCTGTTGAAATGATTTAACATTTTTAGAGAAGGAAAATTTAAATGCTTAAAATTTACATTTATAAGTTGTGTGTTACTCTGTTATTAAAGTAAATACCCTAGAGCACTTGCTTTTGCTGTGGCACATGTGCCATCTGTTGTCTTCAGATTTATGACTTATCATGGTAGTGATTGTGTGCCTTATTCTTCAAGAATTGATAGATGGTTCAAAAAGCAGTACCTTATCCAAAGCAGATTTTTCTTACATATTAAGTTAAACAGTTCTTCAAATTACTAGGAGGATTCAAGCTCTTTAGAGAAGTTAGCTTTATTCTCACTATTAAATTGCAGTCTATTAATGATTACAATTAGATCTTAGAATCTATTATTTATTATCTTTCAAGAGTAATGATTATATAAATCTGGTTGGTATAATAATATTATATAATGGGGCAGATTTAATTAGTGGGCTTTTTAAAGCATCTGATTTAAGAAATCCATAAAAATAAAGTTAATGGCTTGTATAACTTTTTCAAAGTTGGAAAACTTTTTTCTACTTTTTCTTTCTCCATACCAGAGAATATTGTTAAAATAGAGGGCCACATCGGCATTTTGGGGATTGTCCAACTTTCCTTTATTGGAGTGGAAATTTCCTTTCACTGTGACTTCTTGCTTAAACAGTAACTACAAATTTTATGTGCAGGTTTATCTCAATTCCTACCTTCACCCTGTTTCCTGAAAGTTGTGCTTAGAACCTCTAGGAAACCAGCAACCAACTCCCTATACCACCACTTTGTTCTTCTCATAGTAAAACTGCATAATATTATGTGTCAATGTAATATAATATTTTAAAGTTGGATTTTATCTTGTTTGCCTATTTGCTCCATCTGCTAGGTGTCTTCCATTTAGTAGTGTTTGTCTCTTAACTGTCTTACTGGTCAGTGTCCCAGTCTACTGTTTTCTTGAGCTGTGATATTCCTGATGGCTTTGAGAAAATTTCCACTACTGAACCTTTTTTCTACTCGTATCCAAGTGTTGCCAACTGATAACAAGTTAAGAGTTTTTAGAATTGGCCTAGAGACAGAGTTCTAACCAAAAGGATGACTAAGGTGAACCTTAGAGAAGGTTCTGATACTTCCTATATTGGGAGTTTGAGTTGGTGGATTTTGAGTTTCCTGGAGCTACAGAATGATGGTCGAGATCATTAGGTACTGTTCTCTGACTTCAAATTGGGCATAGCCAGTGATTGTCAAGCCTACTTTTGCAACTTTCAAGAATACCTCTAGTACTTGATGCTTTTTATGCCAGATGTTTTGACACATACCTGTAATCCTAGAATTCTGGGAAGCAGAGACAGGAGGATGGAAAGTTTGAGGCCAGCCTGGGAAATTTAGTGAAACTCTTTCTCCAAATAAAAATAAAATATAAAGGACTGGGCATGTAGTTCAGTGGTAAAGCACCCCTGGGTTTGATCCCCAGTAGCCCCCCCCAAAAGCTTTTTGTATTCTGTTGCAAAGAAAACAACAGTTTTTTTCTCATTTCACATTATCAGTATGTATAAAGTCTCATTTATAATATAACACAGCTATAAAGTTTGCGGACGCCTTGCACAATTTTATGGCAAGTAGGCAAACATCAGGAAAATAAGAATAGGTGATATTCACACCCTTGGATATGAAATTATGGAAAAATCTTTATAACTACTATCCATATTTTAAGTCCCATGGCCTTTTAAGCATGAGTAATTATGTAAATTATGCTATAAAATATTCCCTAACAGGCAAACTTTCATATAATTACCTCAGATAATGAAGCGGTAAAAGGAAAGTATAATGATTCTGAAAGTGTAGCCTACAAATTAGAAATGAGCAGTCTTCTGTGTGGCAGGTAGAAGCAACTCTCAGTCCGATGGCTGGTTTGGGTGCCATGCTGAGGAGTTTAGCTGCAGTGAGCCAACACTTTTGAGAACTGTGCTGGTTTGTTCCCTGCTATGTGCAGCTGCCTGTCACTGGAAATGCACAGAACTGAAAGTAATTGCATTTGTGCATCATTTGACAGTCAGTGTCCATTGCTTTATATATTTCTGTGCCCTCTTCTAGATGCCATTATGTGTTCAGAAAGGACAAAGAGGAATTTAATAGGATTTTTACCTGTGTATAAGAGCATGCAGCCAGATAACATGTCACATTATATGATCCCTGTTTACTGAGTGTGAAATATATATGGCTAGTCAAATAATAGCATATGTGTCAAATGTGCAGACAAATTTCCATTTGTTTTCCTGTGGTTTCTCTGGGCTGGAATCATGACTTTAGAAAAAGAAAATATTGGTCTAAATTTTATTGATAAAAACCTAAAGCTAGAGCCCTTAAGGAATTTATTAATCATTTCCTTTATGTGTTGCATTGTATCTGTTTCATATGATGAAAGACATACTGAATTTAACTCTAATGCAATCTATAATACCCTAAGAAGTTGATTTTGGCCAGGCGCGGTGGTGCATGTCTGTAATCCCAGCACTTGGGAGGCTAAATTAGGAGGATCGCTGCAAGTTCGAGGCCAGCCTGGGGTACACAGCAAGACCCTGTTTCAAAAAAAAAAAAAAAAAGGAAAGAAGTTGATTTTGATATCTTTTTATAATAAAATTAGGGATTTTTTGTGACTGTGGTACTTTTTACTTCTCAATTACATCAAGAAATGCTTATTTCTGATTACTGCAAATTGTAAGTACTATAATTATTATAAGTTATAGAAATAATCCATTTAAATGGAAATCTCAAGACATTCAATTTCACTAAATGCAAAACCTAACAGCAGTCACTTTTTTGTTGTTTGTGGTGATGGTATTTTGGATGCTGTTTGGAAAATTTTGACAAGACATAATACTTGGTGTTGGCAGGAGGTATAAGAAAATGGGTATCATTGGTGGAACAGTAAATTCATACTTTATTGCCAGAGGAAATCTGGAAATATGTTTTAAAAGTACAAGCTGTTGGGGCTGGGAATTTAGCTCAGTGGTTCCAGTGCCTGCCTCACAAGCACAAGGTCACGAGTTTGATCCCCAGTACCAAAAAAAAAAAACTGCAAGCTGTTTTACCCAGAAATTCCAATTTTAGGAATTTAAGGAACTAAACAGGTAGGTACACAGAGGAAGATATTTCTGTTGGTTACCTAAGAGGACAAAAACAGAACAAAACTGGAAACCATTTAACAGTCTTTGACTAGAGGATCAGTAAACTATGTGCAAACAATGGAATACTATTGCTTAAAGTATTTTAATAGATGATCCATGTAATGATATACAAAATGTTTGCATGAAGTATTTAAACAATTAAAACAATAATAGTACAGTATGATTCCATTTTTGTAAAATAGGCATATACGTGTGTAGTTTTGTCGAAACATTTTTGAAACCTAGCTACGAAGCACCTGACAGTGGCCATCTGTAGAGTTGAGGGGTAGGGATGGGGGTAAAGAGAAACTTCTTACACTCTTACATTTATTTATCATGTTTTACAATGAGCACGTGTGCTTTTGTATTAAATGTATTTCATTTTCTATAATAAATGCAGTTCTCATGTTATGGAGCAGGTTTGGCCTGACACTAGCACCTGACTTACACTGCACCTCAGACTGGTGCTGATTGTCCTGGTGGGGCAGGGAACCGCCAGTAAGCTACTCTTTCCACATTGGCTTCTGCAGTGCTATTGGACCCACATAAATCTCTATCGTATATTATTTCATGAGACTATAGCAATATACCAACATCTAGCTGCAAGTCAAGAGGTTCACAGCAATTTCATTGATCTGAGAAACTCCTACTGAAAATCAGTCTCTAAAGTAAATGTGCACTTTACATAAATCCAAGGCATTATTATCCACATGATCTTGACGTTTCTTTACTCCACAAGAATAATGATAATGAAAGGATTTATAAAGCATTTTACTTTTTCCACCCATGTTGCAGTGAGTTATGTGTCTTATTCAGCAGCACAAATTAATGTTGCTTCAAGGTCTGGGGATCCCAGTCCCCTCAACCTCATTAACTGCCTCAGCAGGAGGGATATGTCAGATTAGAGCCCTAGCACACATTGAGATCCTCCATGAAGAAAACAATTCACACACATTCACTCCTTCAACATTCATCTGACTTAATTTGCACCCTTCTAAGGCTCCCAGGCCAGCGATCTTGGTGTTATGCACATAAAGCAGAAGGTAAAGAGAAAATGTTCTCTGATGCTGAATGAAGTTTAGAATGGGACATAGTGGTTACATAACAGATTGTGTACACAGTAATAACAGTGGTAAAGTATTCATGAGAAACTGTAAAGGCCGTTGTATGTGCAGAGGCTGTCTTTATGTGGAAGAGCCATATGTAAACACCACTGTTCTCTCCTGGATTTCCACAGCTCATCATCCAGTAACTCTTAACAGTAGTCTCAGTGTTGGGCCTTAACACCACAAGCAAACTGTGGTGTTACTCTAAATTCAAAACTGATTGGCGCTGGCTATTCTCGTGCAGTCCAACCTCCACTAAATGTGATGTGGAGAGTGGGCCAGCCCTTTTGGAAAGGGCTCCTCCCTTGCTAGGATATGGCGTGTGCAACACATCTCTGCAAATCCTGTGCTTCACATCAATTCCAGTGAGACTCAAGGGATCTTTGAAAATACTACAAAAGGATGAGAAGAAAGTATGTCTACTAGACCTGCAAAGGGATTATGAAGTATGAATGTGCTTGTGTAGATCCTGTATTACTTTGCTTTCGCTGCTGTAATAAATTACTACAAACTCAGTGGTTTAAAACAAGACAAATGTATTATCTTGGAGTTCTTTATGTCAGAAATCCATCACAGGTCTCACTGGGACAAAATCAACAAGGATGTGTTCCATCTGAAGCCTGTAGGGGAAAATGTATGCCTTTTTCAGCTTCTAGATGCCACCAGTGCTATAGACTGAATGTTTACATCCCCCAGAATTCATATATTGCAACCTAATCCCCTCTGTGACAGCATTTAAAGGGGGGGGCCTTTGGTAGGTGATTAGATCATAAGGGGTTATGTATTTTACAGTAGATGTGTAATATATTTTAATATCCACAAAAACTAGTCACTCCACCTTGCTTTTTTCAGATTTTCTGAGGGGCATTCTTTTTATTTTTATTAGCATGAAATATTATTCTGCTCTATGATTCTGCTCTATTGCTATGATGCAAGTTACCTAAATTCTGTGCCTTAACATCATCATAATAAAATAAAGCATGGTGGTATCAGAATGAATTTGCATTATTCATATGTCTGGAGAAGATCAATTCTTTTTTTTTAAAAATGATATGTAAGTCAGGAAAGGAAGGAACAAGTTCTCTGGGAGGGAAATTCCCTGCTTCAGCTCCAGGTTCAAACTTTGCTCCCACTGATTAGTTCTGCATTCTTTTTTCTCTGTTTACTTTGGCATTTCTAAGGCCCAACCCAGACACACATTTAGTTAGAATGTAAATCATAAAACACAGCCCTGAAAAGAAATCTAGCCTA